GGAAGGCAAAAGGCGGGCATGAGAGGTGAGAGAGGAAGCCAGTGGCCACTGGGCCTCAGACAGATGCGAGAGTGGGCGAGGGTGGGAGAGGCAGATACCAGAAGTAGGAAGGGCTTCCCTCTGTCCAGATGAGGCATGGACCGAGCTGGCTGGTGCTCTGATCTGGAAGAAGAGGAAGGGAAGGGCCGTGTGGGGCTCCAGTTGGGATGGTGGGGCACCTGGCAGCGAGACTGCCCCCTCCAGGAGGAATGGGGCCCAGGTGTGTGGAGAGCCCTGTGGTCGGCTGTTGGCTCTTCCTCTACCCAACAGCACATGGCTTCTCCCACACCTGTCCGTCCTCACTGCTCTGGGTACCTGACCTGCTGCTATTAGTGGAGTTTCTTATCAAGGGAAGAGTCGGGTGATCTTGAGTGCATCGCTCTAAGCTTTTTAGTAAAAGAACGGGGTTAGTCAGATGGTCTCCAACCAAGCCCCTTCTAGCATTTCTGCTAATGGGCGGAATCAGACACTGCATCTCACCACTTCCCACTATCGGGTGGTTTCAGGTTCCGTCGTGCCCTCTGTCTTTCCTGCTCTCTGGGACTGACATGGATGGTGTGCAGGGTGCTCACAGCACAAGGACGACTGCCCAGGGAGCAAGGGGAGGCCCCATTCCAGCCCGCACTCTGCCCCACAAGTTGCATTTACCCAGAGCAAAGAACACCTTCTTCTAGTTTGTTCTAAGGTGCAGTATGGGCAGCCCCCACGCCCCTGTCCCATCTACATTCCTTCCTCTCTTCTGTGTCCCTTTCCACTTGCCGTCCCCTGCCTCCGACAGGACCCGAGGGCAGCGTGCACAGGGCGCCTGGCGGGAGGCAGCAGCTGCTGCGGGGGCCTGGTGCTTTTCCTCTCCTTAGCGATGCGGAGAGCGGCCTCTCCAAATTGCTCCGCCGTCATTAACACCGCGGTCAGGTCAGATGAGAGCGTGTTTGCATCTTGGAGGCAAAGGCAAAACGCTGATGCTGATTATTCCAGATCTTCTGGGCATGGGCCATTCCGTGCTCCCAGTTCTTAATCAGGGGGGACAGTGCTGACCATGTGGCGGGGTGGGCCAAGGCCCTGCTTAGTTCTAATCTGGACGAGCACCTGCTGGCCTGCCTGGACATCGCAGGTGACCTCAGTTATATCCCTCGAAGGAGAAATGACCCCCCCCAGTGGCAATGCCATGGGCTGCTTTCCAACCAGGAGCGTTTTGCCTGGGCCTGACCAGCAAGTTGTGTTCCGGGCTCACTGGGTGGCCATGTAGTTGAGTATCTTTGAGAACAGCCCTCCTCCAGTGTCCCCTTCCGAGAAGCCTCTGTGCCTGAAGGAGACCAAGGCCTGCGGCCTGCAGCATGGCCCTCACCTCTTGGCCTCCTATTCTCCCTCTGTGACCTCACCCTGTGCTCCAGCCACACCAGGGTCCCCAAACCCAGCTCTCCAGCCCTCCATCTGCTGGTTCTCCGCCAGGAGAGCCTGTGCAGCCTTATCCTCCAGCAGAAGTCTATCTCTGCAGCAGCCAGCGTCCTGTCGCTGCCTCGCCTTGGCCTCTGCAGTGCATCCTAGCCCCACACCCACCTGCCAGCGCCCGCGTGTCCTTACCGGAAGTTTCCACTGGCTTCTGGAACCTAATGGCCACTCTGTGCTGGTCAGACCGGAAGTGCCAGGGAATGGCCCTCCGGAAGCAGCCCTTGGCCACTGAGCCAGTGCCTGACATCAGTTGATGCCTGCACCCCCTGCTCCCTCGCCCTCTGGCGGGTTAAGATTGAGACAGTTCTCATCTTCGTGGGGATGAGCCCTGGTGCCCACAGCGCTAACTGGCTGCTAAACCACCACACTGGCTGCCTTCCCCGTCTCACCTCCCCACTCCCCACATAGCATGTCCTGAGTCTCCCCAATAAACTGCCCACATTCAAATCTTTCTCTCAGGGTCTGCTTCTCAGGGAACCAAACAGACATCATCTTCAATGCCCTCCTCAATATCCATTTTGTAGTTTACCCTGACACCCGCTGTTCCCACTCCTGGGAGAGTCATTGGTCACGCTTCTCTACTCTGAGGGCCCTTGACACCTCAACGGCACTCCTCATGCTGCACCGAGGCTGACCTGCATGCGTGTCCTGGACCCCACAGGGAATTCTTTGGAGACAGTTACTGCTCTTTTCCCGTCTTTATTCTCTGAGCCTAGGACGGTGCCTGACACAGAGCAGGCACCTAATACACTTTTCACCAAAGAGCCAGCAGTGGGAATGCAATGACTGAGAGGGACTGGAGAGAGAGACATGTCCAGAATCTTTCTAGAAAGAGACCCAGGGGCTGCTACCCCAGATCTGTCGCATTTCAAGGTTATGTGGTAGAACTTCAGGTTCCCCAACTACCTGCTGAGCAACCCGCAGTGGCTCCCTATTTTTGTCCTCCCCAACAGGGCTAATGTCATAGATGGCTTTTAAGACCTCCATTACCTGGCCCCATCCAAAGAGGCACTCAAGTCTCCTGTTCAGAGTCCGGCTTTGGTCTCAATGGCCTGAGTTCAAATTCTCACTCTGCCAAGTTCCCAGGTGGGTGGTCGTGGTCAAGCTATGTAGCCTCTCTGGGCACTGGCTGCCTTACTTATTAAATGTAGGTAGTAATACCGCATACCTGTCATTATTTTGAGAATTTAACAGTGAATACTAAAACCCACTGAACTGTATGCATATTTTATTTTATTAACACATATTTTTATTGATTTCAGAGAGGGAGGGAGAGGAAGAGAGATAGAAACATAAATAATAAGAGAGAATCATTGATCAGCTGCCTCCTGCACACCCCACACTGGGGATCAAGCCCACAACCCAGGCATATGCCCAGACTGGAAATCAAACCATGACCTCCTGGTTCATAGGTCAATGCTCAATCACTGGCCACGCCGGCCAGCCCAAACTGTACACTTTAAAATAGTGAATTTTATGTTATGTGAATAATATCTTTTAAAAAAAATTAAGATTGGTGTCTGGCCCAGGGTAGCCTCTTTGAAAATATAGGGGTGGACAAAAGGAGGTTTACTGTTGTGAGTATGGAAACACAGAGTTTATTCTTGTATTACTTATTAATTATCATATTATTTCTTTGTATTACAACTGTAAACCTACTTTTGCCCACCCCTGCATGATAGTGGTTATCATTGTTCTCAAGGAAGTGTCTCAGGTGGCCCTGGCACAGGCCAGGAACGCAGCAGACACTCAGGAAATACTAGAGGGTGAGTGCATGACGCATTCCACAGCGTGTTTGGTCTCGGATGGGTGGGTGGGATAAAGGTGGACAGAGAGGTTCCATGCCCAGTTCGTATCCCTCAGGAAAAGGCCCAAATCATTCCCCAGGTAGAGAGGGCCTCAGGCCCAAACCGCAGCGGGGCCCTCCCACCCAGCTGTGCCCACTGCCCTGGGAATGCCAGGCCTCTGCCCCTCGCTGTCGGCGCAGGTGGCTGAACTGAGTCCAGCCGACAACGTGCCATGCGAAGGCAAACACTTAACCCAGGCCGAGGAAAGTCTTCTTACGTGTATGTCTGACTCTGTATCTGATGTTGGGGGAACTGACTTCAAACAGAATCTCCACGAACCAGTTAAGGCCCTGCTGCCAAAGCCAAGGCCTTTCGGGGTCCAGCCTGGTCTCCTGGACTCCCCAGCAGCTGCCCTGCCCGGCACAGAGGGCGTGGGGCCAAGCGCTCCATCCCCGGTGGTCGCGGAGGAGGCCTCTCCATCTCTGCAAAGCCCAGGCCCCGCTGCGGAGGGGCTGCGAGGGCTTTTTCTGGAGACCGTCCCCGGGCATGGCCACAGCGCTGCGACCCAGGGACCCAGTCCGGGCAGGGAGAGCCGGGCGGGGGCGCTGAGCGGTGCCTCCGCGGCCCGCGCTCCCAGGGCAGGGGTCAGAGCCGGTCCACAGGCGCGAGCTGGCGGCCTAGAAGCCCCGGAGCCCGACCCGTTCCCCCCGCCCCCCCACCCCCCCTCCCCACCCGCAATCTGGTGAGGAAGCTTCTAGACCCGGGCGGCTCAGCCTGTGGTCACGACCGGCCAGGGGTGGGGAGGGCGCTGGCGCGTGGCTTAGTGGTGGGGAAGGGGGCAAGGGGCGAGGGGGGGCAGCCGGGCACCGACCCCTCCTAGGCCTACCGCCCTCACTAGAAAACGAGGCGGCTCCTCGGGCTCAGGGCACCCCTATACCCTCCCCAGGAGAGGCAGAGAGCCCCCCACCTCCCTGGTCTCTTTGCACATACCCCCCCTCCCCGCGCGCCTTGTGCAGCCCCTCCTCAAACAGGTGCCCCGGGGTTCACCCTCCTCCCCTGCCCCGTGGGTGGAGGCCCCGAGGGGGTGGAGGTGGGGCGGCGCAGATGGAGACGCGCACCGCCAGGACCGTCTCGGGCTGTCCCCCCCAGGCGCCCAGCATCTGGAGCCGCGTCCCCACGCCCGCCACGCGCGCACACGGACACGCTCACACCGACACGGCCCGCGCGCAGACCCCGCCCCGGCCCCGCCCCGGCCCCTGCGGGAGCCCCCTCCGGCGCTCCCCGCCCCGGCAGCCCGGCGCGGGGCGGGAGGCGGCGGCTCGGGCAGATTTGATTTTCCCGCAGCCCGGGCGCCCCGCAGCCGGAGGGGGAGCCGAGGGGGTGCGCTCGCCGCCGCGTCCCCAGCCCCGCCGCCGCCCGCGCTGGACCCAGCCAGAGGCGGTCCGCTCCGGCGCCCCGGGCTCCACGCCGCCCGCGCCCCACCGGCCCCCACGCCCCTCTCTCTCCTGCACCCCTTCTGCCCCCGCCCCAGGCTGCACGCGCCCCTCCCGGCGCCCTCACCCCGCGCCCCTGCGCCTCGCCCCGCTGCGCCCCAGTTCCCTGGGCACCTCACCCCACCCCGCGGCGCCCCCAGCCTCTTTGTCGCGGCCCCCTCACCCCTCCCGGGTCCGCGGCCCCCGCTCCCTCCGCCCCCTTCCCTCTCTCACTTCCCACGCCCCCTCTTCGCGCTCCTCTCTTCTCCTCCTTTGCCGCCAGCCTCGGCTCCGGCTCCGGCTCCGTAGTTGGGCAGAGCCCGGGGTTTCAGTTGCTCCCGGGAAGCGCGCAGCGCGCAGGGACTGACCAGTTTGGGGCGGAGGGGGTGGGGGGCCGGTGGGCAATGGAGCAACCCGAGGACATGACGTCGCTGAGCGAGTTCGACTCCTTGGCGGGCAGCATCCCGGCCACCAAGGTGGAGATCACCGTGTCCTGCAGGTGAGCCTCCCGCCTGGCGGGGTCCCCCTGTCCCGCCCCTGGACCCGGAGCCCGGAGCCCGTGGTCCGTGGTCCGCGTTCCTCGCCTCGGGGATGCCCCCTCCTCCCCAGCCCCGTCCTATCCGGCGAGAGCCCCGGCCCAGCCGCGGTGGCGACGTGGAATGGAAGCCAGGCTTGGGGTCGTGTTCCTGAAAGTTTGCGCTCTGGGCTGTTGCTGCGTGGAGACGTGAAGACGCAGGAACAGGGGTCCGCGCCGGAGGGGGAGAGGGAACGGGTGGCAGGCTGTTCCGGGGTCTTTGAGCAGGTCATCTCTGAGCAACTGCTCCCCAAATCTAGAAGAGAGAGGTCTGCCAACCTCCCAGGCGGCCCAGCCCCTGCCTCCGGCCTCCTTTCCTCTCTTCTGCCCCTACTCCCTCCCCCCCCCCCCCCCCCCACCCACCGCCTGCGACCCAGGATGCTAGGCCTTTCTTCACCTCCAGCAACCACACTGACTCCCGGAGAAGAATCCCAGTGACTCCCCCCGTCACAGAGGTGTGGCTGCTGACGACAGTTTCAGTGGGACATTAAAAAAACAATAACTTGGGTACGAAATCTTAGGCCAAAGGGCTATAGCATTGGATGTGTGATTTAGAGTCCAGCAGGGGGGGACGTGTTTTGGGGGGCTCCTACCCCAAAGTCCTCACACAGGCTTTGGGGTAACTTCTCCATCTCAGAGCTGGTCTCTGCCAGGTTCTCCTGTGAGGGGAAGGCTCCCCCAGGCAGTGAGGGGGTGCAGTGGAGATGGGGGGCCTTCTTCCTAGTGCAGTCACCCTGTGGCTGGCCTCGGGCCACTGCCTTGCTGCCACTGAGAGGGGCACCGGCCCAGGCATAGCCCGCCTTGAGGTCCCCTGAGATGCCACTCTCCCTGTCCCCCATGACTTGAGTCCTGGCTTTTCCCTTGTCCCAAATCCCCCACCCCATCTTCTTAGGGCCCCTCTGTGGTCAGACCTTTTACCCACCCTCATGGCCCCCACCCCTGTATTCCAGGCAGTGGGGAGGTAGAGATGGAGCCAGAGGGCCTGAGCTGGCATGTCAAGAGAAGGATTGGGGGCGGGGAGTTGAGGTTGGTGAGGATGGTGAGTGAGGGTTGATGTGGAACACAGCTGCCCCCCTGTGCCAAGCTCCCCTGATAACTCCCGTATGTCTCTCCCGTGGTCCCACACACAGTGCGCTCAGACCGTCTCCAGCGCCATTTGCATTTTGCCAGTTACTCTTCTGGGAGAATCCTGATGGCCCATTAGCTTCAGGCTCACCTCCTCAGCCACCGACAGCTGCCACAGCCCGCCCTCCCTTTCCAGCAGGTCACCCTCCCTGTGCCTGACTCCCCTCCAGCCTTCAATCATGCCTGTGTCAGCGCTGTCTCCAGATCCTCCCACCTCCAAGCCCAGGAACAATCCATTCCCCACCCAGAGCTCACCCCTCCGTCACCTCAGCCGATTCATGCCCCGCATCCTGAAAAAGCCTGGCCTCCCGCCTCCACTTCCAGCCACGAGACACGCAGCCCTCATCACTGTCTTCTGTGTCCCCTGGGCCCTGGGTCCTCAGCTTGGGCCATGGGGTCGCTCACATCCTGAGCACTCAGCCTCTGAAGACACCTCAGGTGTGCACTTCATCCTCCTGCCCCAGAGTCACTGTCTGAGCACTGGAGGGCCGAGATCCCCGCCCTGACTCAGACCCACGGGCCCTCTGCTCCAGGGGAGGGGAGAGCAGAGGAGAGGAGGCAGCGGGCAGCGGCACCGTGGCTTTGGAGTCAGACACGTTGGCATGGAGTCTGCTCCGCCGTTGGGGCTGCCTGTAGCCTAGGCTTCCTCCGTTTGCCAAGTGCAGCGAGAAGCCTCCTTTGCCGAGTAGCTCACGTGCTGGAAGAGTGGCTGGCATGTCGCAGCAGGTCCTCGCCAAATACTGTTGGAGGAATTAACTTACAGGAGTAGAGGATGGTGAAGTGCCCAACACACTACTTGGCACTTACTTGGCCACAGTTGGTGCTAAATAAGTAGCTACAGTGATGACAGCGAGGCAGTAGTGCTTGGTCCCTCCTGCTTGCTCTCTCCAAGTAGAGGTGTCAGACCTTTTGCCTAAAAGGTACCCAGGGATGCATTTGCGATCTTGGGGGATGTGGTTCTGGGATCAACCCTTATGTCCACTCCTTCTCAGGACACATGGTCTACCGGCCTGAGGAGGGCCTGCCCAGGCCCTGTTCCTGATCTGAAAGCCAGAGGGTGCAAAGTGGGTTTTGGTAGGAAGGCGTGAGGAGCGGGGGAGACACCTGAACAGAGGGGAGGAGGGAAACAATATAGGTGAGCTTGAAATTGTAAATCCATCTCTTTCCCTCAACCAGGTCCAGCTCTCCAGGCTCTAGAAGAAAGAGGAGGTGGGGGGAGGAGAGGGGGGGAGGGCGAAAAGGAGGAGGATGGGGAGGAGGGAGAGCTGCACAGAATGGCTCTCCAGTATATTCTGTACTTCGTAGTCTCCAGTGAATGGGAGTCAAGTCCTGCTCCCTGCACCTCAAGGTCCACACTCACTGGGCCCCAGGAGGAGGCTATGGGGTACCCCTGTCCTGGGCATCTAGGTGACACTTGCTGGTGGGCAGGGAACAGTAGGGCAGGCAGAGGGGTTGGTGGGGTGAGAACTCCAGAGGGCTTCAGAAGGAGCTGCTGAGGTCGAGGGAGGCCAGTGTTTCAGGGAACTGGAATCTAGCATCCGCGGGCCGGTTCCTTCTCCTCTCTGCTCTTTAGGAAGGTCCCTGCCACCTCCCACAGTTCTAGGAGCTCCTGTTCCTGCCCGGGGTACGATCCCAACCCCTGCCATGCCGCCCCTGGCCACTCCCAGCCAAGCAAAGTGCCTGGTACAGGGGCACGTCTGCGCCGCAGCCCAGGACCACAGCAGAGGCCAAGCAGGCCTCCACGGAAGGCGGGTCACGCTGTGGGGTGATGTTCGGGCCCCCCCTGTCGGTAGGGTATCTCTCCGGCGAATCCAAGTCCATTCCCAAGTAATTGTTTCTTACCAGCTTCGGTGAACTTAGGGCCACAGATTATAAAGTGCCCGGCTGTTTGGCTCAGGGGCTAAGAACATGGGCTGTGGGATCTGTCCACCTGGGTCCAGATCCCAGTTCTCTCCCCGTGACATCGGGTGAACTCCCGAGCCCCCGCGTCCTTATCTCTAAAGGAAGCACAGTAACCCTTATCATCGGAGGATTGGCCCAGGAAGGGTAATTTGTGTCGCCTATTACTTGACACCTGAAAGTAAATAAAACCCAGGCTCTCTAGCCGAGTCCCAGGGTCTGTGGAGGTCCCGGAGATCTGGTCCACGTAGAGATTCTTCCCCTCTCCCAGCTTTATTGACATCTATTTGCCATTTAGGGATTCTGAGTGAGTAGGGTAGATGGTGTATGGAACCGGATACCAGCAGGCATCGTAGGAAGTGTGAGCCACAGCTTCTCTCTCCTCTGGTGGTCTTTTCCAGACCTTTCCTGCCCTCGTTAGCCTCCCTGCAGACCCAATCGAAACTCACCTGTCCAGCGTCCCATGCCCCACGGGCCACACTGCTTTTCTGGTTTCTGTGCGTCATCTGCCGCAGCGAACAGGACCAGCCTGCTGGTTAGAAAAGAGCGATTTGCATTTTTTATGTAACAGGAAACCTTTGCACTTCCGCAGGGTCCGGTGGGAGAAGCACAGCACATTTCAGCGGTGGGGCTCCCAGGCCCCCAGGGAAGGGGGGGTGGAGTCCAGAGGCTGGCATGGGGCCGGTGAGCAGCAGCTGCCTCTGCCCCAGCGGTTTTCTGCTGTCTGTTCGGGCTGGTGTTTTGCTGCCGGGGGCAGGAGAGGCAGTCGGCTCAGGAGCTGTCCCTGGGCCTCTCAGAAGGCGGTGAATGGGCTCCGAAGGCTCCCGTCTGACCGGCAGGGAGGGCGGCTCTGGGGCAGGAGGGCCTGGGGGCAGGGGCAGCTGTCAAAGCCAGTGCTAGGAAAAGGAGGTCGTCAGCCGTTGAGTAGCCCAGGCATTCTCCAGCGGAGCAGGGGAATAGTAACTGGGTTTGCTGAGCACTTACTACGTGCCAGGCACCTCACATCTGTATGAGTCCGTGCCACGTGCAATTGCCTGTGCTCAACTGTGTTGACCCACTCAAACAGCCATTTGGTCCAAACTAAGATTATTATACTGGTTTTCAATCCTGTGTAACAAGTTGCCACAGACCTAGCGGCTTAAAGCAACAGCCATCTGTTATCTCTCTGTGTCTCTAGGTGAGAGCGCATACCTCACTGCTCCTCTCTCAGGGTCTCTAAGACCAGGCACCCGAAGGGGCTGTGATCTCCTCCGAGGCTGGGCGTCCATGTCTCGCTCATTTAGGTTGTGGGCAGAACGCAGTGTCTTGCAGCTGGGAGATTAAAGTCCTGTTTTATTGCTGACTGTTGGATCCGAGTGGCGCTTAGCTCCCGGGGGGCCACCCGCAGCTCCTAGCAGGACAGCTTATTCTTCGAAGCCTGCAGAGGGTCCTCCCCCGTCCGCTGGACAATCTTAGATGAGGTAACAGTAGTCGCAGGAGTGCGGACCCCATCCTACTCCCAGGCCCCACCCGCACTCAGGGGAGGGGGCTGAGCAGGCTTGTGCACAGGGGCCGGAGTCTAGAGCCGCCTTAGACCCCTCCCTACCTCACTATGTATCTTCCTAGTCTTACAGCAATCCTGTGAGGTCGCTAGCAGTTCCCTTTTTGCTGATTGGGAAACCAGGGCTTAGAGGGATAAAGGCACCTGCTGGGGTTACACATTTAGTATGTTTCGGAAAGGGGCGTGCAAATTCAGTTTCCTCAAATCTCACAGCTTCACGGCTGGAATGGGGTCTCCAAGAGGACCATGGTAGGGGCCTGGGTCCCAACCATGTGACCAAGAATTAGGTGTTTTCTTTCCAGGGTTGGGAGAGTTTTTTCTTGCTCAAGAATGCCTCTGGCTCTGGGACACAAACCTAGAC